CATCGCCCACGATGTCCATTTCCAATTTTTGCACGTAGGCCGCCCAGAGGGTGCAGGCTGTGTGGCTCCACTCAACCAGGTACTCCACCAGGGCACGAACAGGGGCTCTCGACTCACCCCCTGCCAGACGGAGGGTGGAGTACATGGGCAGCGGGGGCGCTGGCGGCGGCAGCAGGTCGGGGTAAGAGTAGTGGATAGAAGCTCCATCGGTCGCACCCCTTTGTTCACCATGCACAGCGGGGGGCTGCGCCGACCGGTCATCGCGCGGTGGGATCGGCGCGTCGGCGTCCGCGACTGGGGCCCGGCTGGCTGGGGAGAGGTGCGTAGACATGTCGTAGTTGCACCAGCCCTCGGGAATGTCGGTGGCCTGCCGCATGGCAGGGATGGCAAGGTAAACCTCGTTGGAGCAGTTGTCGAGTGTGCGGTCGAGGACGCCCGGGGCGACGTGTCAGATGTGAACAAGGCACCTCCTGCAGGCCCATCCCGCGTTCCACTTCCGCGTGGCCCATAGGAGGGGCATTGCGCCCCACGGCGGGAGGCCGGTCTGCTCGTTGCAGTTGGCGTCTGCCTCTGGGCGCCACATGAAGCATCCGAGGGCTGGGCAGCCCAGCATCCATTCCAGCGCGGGGGAACCAGGGGGGCAGGTGTCGCATATGGCTGAGTGCAGTTGGGAGTGGTGCGCTTCTGCACCAAACCGGCCGTCGGCAAGCCTGCGGGGTGGGGGGGTGGCACCGGCGCTGGCAGGCCGGTAAGGTCGCGGCGCACGCATGACGAGGTCCTTCAGGGAGGAAGGGGCCGAGGCACCGTTAGGCCGACCGAACCCCAGCGGGAGGCTGGACAGCGAGGGGAGGGTCCGAGCTCTCTTGAGCGCTCGGTCTTCTTCCACTCTGCGCTTGTACTCCTGTAGGCGCTGCTGCGTGGCCTTCTTGGCACCGCCTTCTGCCTGGTTGGGGTCAGGCACGTGAATTCCCATGCTTTCCAGGGACCTGACCCAGCGCAGCTCGCAGAGCCACCTGCAGTTCTTGCCCTTCATGTATGCCTGCGCTCGGTTCTGAGCTAGCAGCTCACGGGTGTCGTCATCCTCCCAGGTGCCAGCCGCTGCCTGCAGTCCCGTGCTGGTGCAGCCGTCGCAGTTGTAGCTGGCGTCCTTCTGCAGCCTGCAGAATCGCTCGTCACGTACTATCGGGGGGGATAGCGCTGCACCTGGAGCCGGTGAGGCCGGGAGGTCTTCGTCGAGGCGGCGGTTGGACATCGCAGCCCCGCCTCCTATGCACAACAGATCTGACATGGTTCGTGGACTGCCAAGCCCCTCCTCTGATCCCGTCAGCGCCTTGTGCAGCTGGCAGATGGAGCAGTCTCCATTGCTTAGCTGCTTGACAGCCGCGGGCTGGACAATCACTTCCAGTACGCGCATGGGGGCCTCCTGGGTGATGTCATGCTCCTGCGTTCCTGCCAATGTCTGTGGGCATGTGTGCTTCGCCGCAATCTGATGCTGATGAGCGAAGGTGGCCAGCGCGCTAATGTGGCGAATGACCTGCTCCATTTGGTGTGGAGGGAGGCGCAGTCGGCAAGCTTGAAGCCCCACGCGGCAGCAAACTGGCTGCGAAACTCCTTGTGTGCCTTCTGCCATGGGAGGCGGAGACCCATCGCCGCCTCTATGATGTCACCTGTGGCCTCTGGGTGTGGGATTGCCAGAGTGTGGCGCGCGGCTCCCGCAATTGCAGCATCATCACCTCAAGTAGGACTCCGAGCGTGAGGGTGTTGAGTGGGCGCCCGTCGCTACCACGCAAGGCAGGCGCAAGAGCTGAGTCGACCTGATCCGGGAGGAGCAAGGAGTGTAGGTGCTCCATCCCAGGGTGTACCCTGTGGCGTTTGCAGCTGCATGTGGCGGGGCTCCAGGCAGCGGGGAACTGGGGGAGCATGCCGACGGGGGTGCGCCTGCTTGAGGACTTGGGGCGGCGATTGTGACCGACAACGTGGGGCAGCGGGGGGAGTGAGGTGAGCGGGGCACTCAGCTGCTTAGCGTGCCAAGGTGTGCCCAGTCCAAGGAACCAGACCAGGGCTGCCCACTTAAGGTTGTATACCAGGTTGCTGGCGTCAATCCCGACCTCCACGTCCAGGCAATACCCCAGGTGGCTCCAGGCCTTCCTGTCGAGGCTGCCCGGCTGCCTGGGGGTGGCACCCATGGGCCACTGGTGGGGGTGGAGCCCGGCCACCGTGTAGAGGTTGATTCCCATTGTGGGGTCGTCAACAAGCCGCTGCATGCTGTCTGTAAGGGCTTCGCCGAGCTTGTCCCAGGAGAACAGGGGATCGAGTGGTGCAGCGATGCGCTCCGCAAAGCTGTTCTCCATGGAGGTATCTGCCTTCTTGATGGCGTCGTTTAGGCCTTTTATGCTATCGTCCCCGGTGCGGGTGGGGGCGGCAGGTATCCATGTGGTGAGGTTCTTGATGGGGTCAAACTCCTTGTCGGTCTGCAGGTTCACCTTTGTGCCCAGGTTGGCCCCTTCGAAGCGGACCCAAAGCTTGGCAAACTTCTCGTACTCCGACAGTTCCCGCAAGCGAGCTCCTGTGGCGGTGCCAAACATCCTTCCGTCCCCGAGGATGACCACGTTGGTGGTGGCGCGCGCGATCGCGACGTTCACTCTGTTGGGATTGTCCATGAACCCCCAGTCGTGCCAGCTGTTGGACCGGGTGGTCGGGTAAATAACTAGATCGGCCTCCCCGCTTTGACTGGACTCTATGGTGGAGATGGCAAGCTTGCCGCTGGCAAGGTGCTCCTCAGCAGTTTGTCGCAGTCCAGGGAAAAGCAGGCCGATCCCGGTGAGGGGGGAGCTCCATTGTGCGAGCACTCGTTCGTGGTCCTTGGTGTCATCGTCGTGCTCGGGGGGATGCGTGGGGTGGTCTCCCGTCTTGGCTGGTCCGCCCTTGCCTTTTCCTTTATCCTTGGCCTTGGTCTGCCCGAGGGTGCCGCTGATGCTTCGCCCTGTCTGGGGCCAACCGTTCTCAAGGACAGCACATTGTAGCTGGTAGCCTACCACGACGCGCACTGTCGTGCCGTTCCTCATGGCGGGCAGGAACGCTCGCACGATGTCCACTGTTTGCGCGGCCTCTGGGAGGTTCGCATACCCTGAGTGAAGGTTGGAAGTGACCTCTAGGGAGGGGATGTCCACCAGGAGGAATCGGTGCCTTTCTTCTGGACTCTGGGGTTCCGGTGCGAGGTCCCGCAATAACTTCTCCAAGTCTTCCGTGGGGGTGTCCGTGGCTTCGGCTAGCGCTGCGAGCCTTTCGCCTCCGCCGCCTCCTCTTGCTCTACTTTCTCCTCCGCCGCCTCCTCCTTCGACAGCAGGCTCAACGGTTCCACTTTTCGGAGTACTCAAGTTGATCCCGAACTTAAGCTTGATGGCTGCCTCACCTCTCTGCTCCACTGCGTGCTCTTGCACTTCGCTTGTCAAGACAACTCCCGAAACGATCGCTGCGGAATGAACTGGTGGGAAGACGCGACGCCTCGAATTCTTCTTGAACGTGGTCCGGCCATACAATTCCAACTCAACTGATTCCAACCATTCGTTGTTCCCCTCTGGGGGGAGGCTGTCCTCTACACCCCTCGCAGCTCGGTATCAACTCCTGCGAGGTGCGGGGACGATTACACATTCGATGTTTGTCAGCGTGGACTCCGAACTGTGAGTTAGTGCCCTGTCGAAGTGCCAGCCACGTGGCGTAGCGGCAACGAGGCGGCAACGAGGCGGCAACGTGGCGAATCCTCGGCACACCCCCGCAGGCGGCAACGGGCGGCAACCAGAGGTGGGCACGCCTGGGCAGAATCAGGCCGCCAGATTGGGTCAGATGAAGCGGCACCAGTGCCAGAAGAACAGCAGCGGCCGAACCTCAATCATCCTCCCTGAAGTGTCATCCTGGCCATCGCTCGGACGTCCATTTCCTGTATTTTTTGTTGGTTTCGTGCGTGGTTTTTCCGCCAAATGATCAAGGATGCTCCTCGATGGTCCTCGCCGAGAAAAACTGCACACGTCCGAGCGATGCCAAGCATCCTGCCCTGGCGGTCTGGACCGTGGCTCCGCGAGGGGGGCGGAGTGTTCAAGACGGCCAGACACGATGGCCCGAGTTCCAGGATCACGCGGGGCAGTCCAGCTTGGCTGCTCTGCGAGGCTGCGAGCAGCACTTCACCTTCTTCCCATGACCTGAGCTCGTCAAGCCGATGATGGTGATCGAGTCATGGTATTAGTCACAAGAGGTGCGTTTTGTGTGGTCAAGTGCTGTTATCCAAAGCTTCCTTATCCAAGGCTTCCTTATTCCTCATCAAGGCTTCCTTATCCAAGGCTTTCTTATTCAAGGCCTCCGCCGTATGTGGTCAAGTGCTGTTATGCGCATTTGGACTGCTTCGACAACCGATTACCAGCTAACGTACTCATGCGCTTCGGAACCAAGCCGACAACTCATCCAATCGAACCTAGTCGTCCAACGATGGCAACACAACGCACCCACATACTTCCATTTGAATGAGCCTAACCTGTGGAATCCTGAGACGAGCATGCGAATTAAATTGCTAACCAAACATAAACTCATCGTTAATGTTGTCGGTGCATGTGCGGTTAGCACGACCCCAATGCTGTCATGAGATACTTGGCCCAGACGCAAGGGTGTCCGGAATCCGGCAACTTCCTCACAGCATTGAAGAACGAACCCCCTCACATCATTGAGTGGAAGGCATAATGCTCCTAACAGGCAATCGCCATCATAATAGGAAAGACTAACAACACATATTGGCTCGTCGTTTTCTGATCTGCAGTCCAGGGGTGACCCCATTTTGCACTCCAGTCCAAATCCTGCTGCGATCGTGCCTGTATCACCTTCGGCACGGGAATCGATCGCACCTGGAATTTCGATCCGTGGTCCTTGACTTATCTACGCGTGCAGTCTGCACCCTTGGGCCATGGTGCGCAACTGCTCCAAGCTCCGCCGACGGGATCAAGCCATTCCCTGGCCTCTTCCAGGAGAGAGGCAAGCAGAGAGCGGGAGCGCACCGCGAAGCGCTTCAGATAATACATCAGCAACTGGTCCCAGATAGTGACCATGTCCTCGCGTTAGGTCGGGCGTGTCCCCCTACAGGCGGATTTTGGACGGAACAATGAAACATACCCCAAACATATTCCACATCATGAAACAATATCGTGTATTCGTCCTGTAGAGGGACAGGCCCGACTTAGTCCTCGTGCGACAGAGCGGTGGTTAAGATGCCCACCTCGGCCGCCCTCTCGATGGTCATGTCCTCCTGGCACCGGAAGCCAGAGTCCATCTTGGGGTCCATGATCTCGATGGCGCATATCGCGTCAACGAGGCGAAAGTTTGGGCTCTCGATCATCTCGCCTTGGCGGCGCGCAGGGGGGGAGAGGAGGCATGGGGAGGAAGCCTTCGCAGAAGGAGGCTGCTTCTTAGAAAGCGCCGGCCCTCCATCTACAGACAAGGCCCGCGCCTCCTGAGAAGCAGGGGTGCCTCCAGGAAGCCGTTCCCCCTCCCCCTGCCTTATGTTGTTCCCGTCCTACTTAAGGACCGCATCCCAGAAATAATTTCGAGCACCTGGAAAAGTGTCAAAACAGTGTCGCAACAGTGTCGAAACAATGTCGGGCGAGTGTCTCCCAGGGCCCGACACGTGAAAACCCTTGAGTATTATTTTTGGGGGGGGCGCTCGAAATTCTTCCTGCCGATCCAGGCTAAAGTAGGTTGGAGCATCATAACCCCTGCCCCCCTCTGCGCGTGGCCGATCGCCTGCCCCCATCCCGCTCACGGCGGTGTTGCACATGCCGGTTATGTCCACCCACTCGCTCGCGGTATAGTCGGGGGGCCCCTCCTCCGGAGGAGCGGGCGCGGGCGCCTCCTCGACTTCCTCGGACTTGCCCTTATCGGGCGCGGCCTAACCGACTCCGATGAAACGGAGCCGGGACGACGATAACACCAGGTGAGGACAAATCGAGAATCTCTGAGATCCAGCCGGCTCTGGAGGATGCCTCGGGCGCCGCGGCCTTCTCAGAACGTTCCGAAACGCTCTGAGAGCGTTCCCGAACGCTCTGGAACTGATTTATCCTCGTCCTAGCCCCGCCCGACCCTAGCAAACCACACACTTCCTTGACATCACTCTCGCAATTCAAGCCTCCCTCCAGCCGCACACACACACACACATACACACACACACACACGCACGCACGCACGCACACACACACACACCACCACCACACACCACACACCACACACCACACACCACACGCCACACCCACACCCATACCCACACCCACACAGACCACAGACCACATACCACACACACAACACACACCACACACCACACACCACACACACACCACACACCACACACACACACACCACACACACCACACACACCACACACCCACACCACACACCACACACCACACACCACACACCACCACACACACACACCACACACCACACACCACACACACACAACACCACACACACACACACACACACACACACCACACCACACACCACACCACACCACACACCACACACCACACCACAAACACACACACACACACACCAGACACCACACACCACACACCACACACCACACACACCACACACCACACACCACACACCGCACACCACACACCACACACACACACACCACAACACACCACACACCACACACACACACCACACACACACCACACACAACACACACAACACACACACACCACACACCAAACACCACACACCACACACCACACACAAACAACACACACCACACACCACACACCACACACCACACACACCACACACACACATACACCACACACACACACACCACACACACCACACACACCACACACACACGCACACACACACACTCACACACCACACACCACACCACACACCACACCACACACCACACACACAAACCACACACCACACACCACACACACACACAGACGTCTTGGGGCTAGGCGAGGGGGGCGTCATGGAAGAGGGTGGCTTGCTACTGGTCGGTTAGGCCGCCCCTGACCTTCTTCTTCTTCCGAGGCTTCTTCTTCTTCTTCACCGCGTCCTGGCCGTCCTCCAAGACGAAGGCAAGACTTGGACAACATCGAAACGGGACAGATCGGTGATCTCGGAGATCGTCGGGCACCGCGGCCGTCCCAGAGCGTCCCAGTTCGCTCTGCGAGCGTTCTGGGACGCTCTGGAACGATGTGTTTTCTTCCTGGCCCCGCCAGGGGCTCTGTCTGTGCTTGCATCGGCGCAGGGGTTGGCAAGGGGATGGGGGGGTATCAATGGACGTCTGGGTGGGTTATGTCTGGCCTTACCAAGCACCAAGTTTACATCTTGGTTACAAATGCCCCAATTGGCTTCGAAGGGTTAGTGCGTCAATCGTCCAGACCGTTAGCCCCACAAACCACGTGGAGCACGTGCCCACCTCAACATCTACTTTTCACTTCACCCATAAATTCGCTCAGAACCCCCCGCGGTGATCAATGTGGAACGATGTATCTTGGTCGAGCGCGTTTCTTTGTGTTCGGCGATGACGGGCGTCAATGGGGTGGGGCGAGGGGGGGTTAGACATAACGCCCCCCCTGCCGTGTAGCTCCGGAACCGCAGCCGCGCCCGCGCGCGCGCGACGCGACGAGCGACGAGTGACGACGACGACGACGCGAGCAGCATATAGGTGGCGATATGCGCCAATGCGCCTGTGTACACTACGACGCTCGCGTGCACCACAGCGCATGTGTATACCACAGCGCCTGCGTACACCGCAACAACCGTGTGCAACGCAGCGCCTGTGTACACCACACTGCTTGCGTGCACCGCAGCGCCTGTGCGCGCCACAGCGCGCGTCTACACCACAGCATCCGCGTGCAACGCGGCGCTGGTGTACACCACAATGCCTGCGTGCATAGGACAGGTAGAAGAAGCATGTGCGTGAGGACCTGCTGCGGACAACTAGACGCCAGGCCAAGGAACTGCTGATAATCGAATGCAATGTTATTCCCTCCTCCCTCCACTTCCACCTCCACCACCTCCTCTTCCTCCTGTTCCTTCTCCTCCTCTTCCTCCTCCTGCTCCGCCTTACCCCCTGTCGTGCGGGTTGGCGCTACAGCGCACGTGCGCATCTCAGCGCGCACCGCATAGAGGTCTATTGAATCGGTCCACTTGGTTCTCGGACGGCCAATTTAGCTGGAGCCTCCTGAACGCAGATGGGTGGACTTAGAGTGATGCGGGCGGACTCGGGTGGACTCGTAGATACCAGCGGCGCTCCGTTGTCCATACGGATGATGTTCTACTGTTGTCTGCGGAGTCCACAAACGCTCCATCTTGTCATCAGCATTCGTTCTAACATTCTATATACCACGGTTGCTGTGGTGCACACAGGCGCCGTGGTGCACACAGGCACTGTAATGCACGCAAGCATTGTGGTGTACACTGGTGCTGTGTTGCACACGCCTGATGTGGTGTACGCAAGCGCTGTGGTGTGCACAAGAGCTGTTGTGCCCGCAGGCACGGTGGCACAAATTGACGCTGTGTTGCACGCGGCTGCTGTGGTGTACATCGGCGGTGTGGTGTACACAGGCGCCGTGGTGCACGCAAACACTGTGGTGTACACAGGCGTCGCGGTGCAAATCGCCACCTGCATGCTGGCGCTACCCGTCCTCCGTCATTCCTAGGCATTCCCAAACGTCGCCGGCGCGAAACGTGACGTCATCGACCCCCTTCCCCCCCCCTAGATGATTGCCGTCGTCGGCCCGGGTTAAAAAAAAACTTCGCCCGCGTCCTCGCGCACGACGACTATGAGCGACGAGTGACAAGTCACGAGCCACGAGCGACGACGACGACGACTGCGGACCAGACTCCCATGCGGATTCCTACGCGGACACCTGCGCAAATCCCAATGCGCACGGCGGCAGTGCCCGGAGCGCACTGGGGGGGAGCGTTACGTCAGGAAGGGTGGGGGGAGTGGGAGGATAAGCAATAAAGAAACGGGTTCGTCCTGGCCCCGCCCGACTGAGTGAGCCTTCGTGGGAACCTGTCTGGACCTCCGCGGCCCTGTATCGCGGTCCTGGCCTTCGATTTCGTCCAGATGTCGACCAACTCTGACGAAATCTGGACGAAACCCTAAAACCGCAACGAAGTGTAGGACCCTCCAGGACATCACAAGCCCGATACTCTGGGTGACCCAAAAAGGGGATCAAACTGCAAGGGGGTGGTGCAATAGATTTGGGGCAATTGTCTTGCAAATCTATTGCGCCGGAGAGTGGTATTGCATTGTATTGCAACGACTGTATTGCACGCGAAAATCCAGCAATACACTTGCGCCCCGGAATGTATTGCACGTCCCAAGTGTATCGCATCCCCATATATCTATTGCACCAAATCTATTGCACCACCCCCTTGTCGCTGGGCCCCCTTCTGGTTTAATTAACCCGAGATACTCCGTGGGCGTAGAATAACAGAACACGGCATAAACATCAACTGTCGCATCCCCGCGCGGATTCCTTGGATCGGCAAGGGCGGGAGAATGACGCGACCCAATCTGAAAATTGGCACGAACTCCCGCTGCAAACATCCCACGAAAACTTGACCGTCGAAATCCCGGGCGGACTCATCAAGACGCGCCGGCAGACCCGAGTTCCCGTGAACTCGAGCCTCACGTCCTCACGTTCCCCGGAGGGTAGCGTGTCACACATCCACGGGCCTCGCCAATCCGGGCTCTCCGGGGCCTCGCAGAAACCTCGTGGGCTCATGGGGCGGCCGCCCCGAGCGTGCGGAATGATGGCGCCCACGAGACATCGCGCACCCATGTGGGACCCCTGTGCCCCGACCCCCAGACCGCAGGGGTCGCGAACAGGAAACCGGTGGTTCGAAGGTGGGATCCTGAGGGATGGGGGCCTCAGGATAGGAGGGGGTCCAAGGGCCGAGGTGCGCTGCTTGATGCACTTAACCATCAGGACCCCTTCCTCGGGACCCCTTTCGGGCGTTGGCAGAACTGGGTTTCGTGGAGTTCAATGATTTGTACCGGGGGCGCCCCCCCGTCCCATTTCCACCAACCGGAACTGCCGTCACCCGAAAAACACCAGTTGCAGCAAACCTGGTTTAAGGAATCTGGCCCATTGAGGGGCCCCAGGGCCCTACCACTGACCGGGTCCCCTTACCCGGGGTCCTGGCTATACCCGACCATTATTCGAACCACCGATGAAGCATCAGTCAACACCGCATCGGGGAATCGGATCGGACCAGAATGTGCACTGCATCGGGCCGCGTCGGCACGGAGTGGGCATCGAATCGCATCGGCCAAACGCACACCGGGAGGCGCCGCGGCTCCACTCTCGAGCGGCGGGCCGCCTGCATCGTCAGACCGTCGGAATCGCATCGGATCGAGCCGGCCATAATCTATTTTGACTACCTACCAGACCACCCCAACCCAACCCGAAGACCCGAGTTTCGGGTTGGGGTGGGGTACGGGTTCCACATGTGTTTTCTCAATGTTCCCCGACCCCCCCCCACTGGAAATGGAGTGCAAATTGAAGCCTTCGGGTTGGGTTGGGGTGGTTTGGTAGGTGGTGATGTATCGAATCGGATCGATCGGATCGAGATGGACCCCGAGAGGGGCACCGCGGGCATCGTGCTCCTGCGGCTCGCCGCGCGGCTCCCTGGAGAGCCGGAGCAGCTCCCTGGGACGGTTTTTTCGTTGCACCCCGGGTCGTTTTCCTTCGCCCCGGAGAGGCCGAGCGCTGCCAGAGGCCACCCCTCGCGCTCTTGCTCACAGTGAGCAGGAGCGCGAGGGGTGGCCTTTGGTCGCATTGTCACATAGTGAGCAGCTCACTGCGCGACGATGCAAGGCATTCGTCGCCCGTCAGGAGGAAACAGGCACATGCCGATGCCGCCAGTCTCCAGACCTCACCTGGGGTGCGTTGTGACCAACATTTCGGAGCGAATCTATAGCCGTGGCGGCGAGCACCTCCCAGGAGGCCCACAAAGGCGAACACGAGGCAAGAGCCAGCGGCATCAGGACCTTGCCCTCCTCTGACGTCAGTCCTGAACCACCTCTGAGGGGCAACGATAGGGGGGGATCGGCTCGGGTTGGGGGAACATCGAGCTTAAGTCGACGATGCCTCGCCAATGGGGGCCTGATAGCCCATCCCGCCCAGAAATGTGCGGATTCGCTATCGGGAGCCTATCGCCGCTCTATCGGCGATGTGTCGCCGACTCCAGCTCGATGTTCCCCCCCCTGAGCCTATGAGATGGCTGTTCATGTTTCGGCGATGCCCCGGGTTATCCTGTGGGTGGGTGGACGCAGGTGTTGGCCGATAACCTTTGCCCGAGCGAGCCAGTCCTGCGCGCTCCCTTCAAACCTGCGCAGCTGACAAGGTCAGGCTATCTGGGGGCGAGGAAGGGGCCCGATGACCCAGGCTATCGCCGGACCCTTACAACAACAGCCTCTATCCCCCCTATCGTTGCCCCAGAACCTCCTCGGTGCCCTCGTCGCCCTCGTCGCCGTCCATCGCATCGAGGTGGCCCCAGCGCCCCCCCTCGGCGTGGGACCCCGCCGCGGGCCCGCGCAGATGGCGCCCTTGGAGGGGTGCCCACGACCTCGAGCCCAGAGGGCTGACAGACCACTGAGCGCGGCCAACGCCTTGCCAGAAGGGCCATCCGACGACAAAGAGTAGCAAGCTCGGAAGAGGAGGGAGTACCGACATCGCTAAACCTCGGCTCGATTCGCTTCGAAATCCTGGTCAGAAAGCACCCCTTGAGAGGTCCATCCAATTGATGTATCACCCATCGGCATCGGTATCTAGATGCCCAGACCTCCAACGTGTCGCAACAAATCAAGACTGTTACTTTTCACCGTCAGGAGCGGCCAAGAGGGGGGTGTCCAAGAGGGGGGGGGAGCAAATCATGACCGGCGGCATGTGCGCGGCCCAGCGGGGGGGGCCAGGGACGTAATGAAACAAGAAGAGGCGCCACGAGATCTGGGGAAATATCATGGCCCCCGCCATGAGATCCCCCCCCCCCTAGTCATCACCCCCCTCTTTACCGCCCCCGAAACGTGTCGCAACAAATCAAGGCTGTGACCTTCGGCCGTTGTCAGCCTCTAAGGGGGCCCTGGCCAGGGGCCCCGGGGCCGTCAGAACACAACCGACAAGCCTGCCCCTGGGGAAGGGGTCCAAACCTCCAGGGGTCCACGTTCTGACCAAACTCACGACGTCGGTGTTTTGGGAACCTGGCCATCGCTCGGACGTCCATTCCCTGTGCTTTTTTGGGGTTTCGTGCGTGGTTTTTTCGCCAAATGATCAAGGATGCTCCTCGATGGCCCTCGCCGAAGGAAAAATGCACACGTCCGAGCGATGCCAAGGGGAAGGGGTCCACACCGCCAGGGGTCCACGTTCTGACCAAGCTCACGACGACGGTGTTCTGGGAACAAAGGGCGCGAACACCATAACCTTAGGTCGGGCATGTCCTCCTGCAGACGGATTTTGGGCGAAAGCGAAAAGCGCGCAGAAAAACTCCCAAATAGGCAGAAATGGTAGAAACATTGTCCCCTGACTATCCTGACTATTTTTCCTATTTTTGATTACTCTTCCTGTAGAGGGACACGCTCGACTTACACCAAGTGGCGTGGACATCATAACCTTTCGTGGGCCCGCGCGGATTTCTTGGGGCCGGCGCGCCGCGCGCGCGCCAGGGAGGAGGAGCCCCCCGGCGCCGAGCCAAGAAATCCGCACGGGTGTTTATGCAATTTGGGGGGCCCCACCGGGCCCAGACGCACGAGGAGCGCCAGGGGAAGGCCTCAAGAACCCCAGGGACCTCGAGTCCCTTTTCAAGCCCGAGCGGCCCTCATCCAAAACTGGGTGGATGCCATGACAATGGACACCCAAACAATCCCATAAGCCCATAAGTGCATTGAACATGTGTTAAACATGTTTGAAGCATGCTATGAAAATGTTAAAACCACTTTTAATGATGGGAACGTGTCCTAGACATCTGATGACTATTTGGCAACATGCTTCCTCTCCATTGGCCGTCGTCCACAACCCAAACTCTTGGCTGCACGTCGGGTGGTGGGGGCAAACACAGCATCAGTGACACGCCGCCATGGGATCCCCCATCGGCGCGTGCGAGTGTTGAAGAAAGAAGCTCGTCGGACAAAACGCACCAACAGATGCTGATGGGCCCCGAGCGCTGGCGACGGGGAGCTTCCTGGCGGCCAAAACAACATCAGACATGTAACGTTCTTGGGCCGCCTAACCTTGGGTCGGACATGTCCACCATACAGGCGGTTTTTGGACGATAAAGGAAAATCGTCAAACATATTTGAAACATACTCAAAACATCGTCCCCAACATATTGTTTGACTAGAGGGACACGCCCGACTTAAACCTAACTTCGAGCAGCGCGTCGCGATGCGGGCCGCGCGATCGCAGGCCGCTCCTGCTGGAGACGGGCAGCCGCTCGGGCCCAGACCGCGACGCGCGAAGCAAGGCTGTCGTGGCGCCCGCCCCCGCGGGTGACCCCGTGACCCCCCCAGCGCACAATCAACCCGTATCAGAAGGACGAACGATAAGGATGCCGGGGCCGTGGAAGGCCATGTCGAAGCTGTTCGAGCGGAGCGCGGCCAGCGAAAGTGGCCAAGGATGGGCCGAAGAGGAGGGATGCAAAGGTACCCTTTTGGGAAGGCTGCCCATCCTTACTATGCGCGCTGACTGTACCCGGTACCCCCCTTGGCGGTGGTGGGTGCTGCACAACACGAACGCAATCGGTGCCACCACGGGGGGGTGCCACCTCCTCGAATCGGGGAGACGTAAGACTCGGGTGCGGGGACCATCAGCATCTGTTGGTGCGTCGACACGGGCTCCCGCTGCAAACATCCCACGAAAACGGGACCGTCAAAATCAAAGACGCGCTCGTCAAAAAAAATAGGCAAACCCGAGTTCCGGCTTACTCGAGTCTTACGTCTCCCCGATAGAACACAAATGGAGGGAGGAGGAGGAGGAGGAGGAGGAGGAGGGGGAAGGAAGAGGAGGGGGAAGGAGGACCTCGCAAACCCGAGCTCCGGCTTACTCGAGTCCTACGTTTCCCCGATCCGATCAGAGAAGCGCCCTTATATCCCCTCGAAGACGTGGGCCCCCGAACACGCCCCGGAGCCTGCCGCAATGGCCCCACACGTCCAGACAGCGCATCGAGCCTCGATCCTGGCCTGGAACCTTCCATCGAGCCTCGAGCCTCGAGCCTCGAGCCTGGAAGCATCGAGCCTCCACACGTCCAAACAACACATCGAGCCTCGAGCCTCCAAACGTCCAAACAGCTCATCGAGCCTCGAGCCTGGCCTGGAGCCTTTCGTCCTCCAGAGCAGGTGGTGACCCGCCAAAAGGCACTGCCCAAGTTCGGGAGCGGCCAAGAAGGGGTCGTCCAAGAGGGGGGGGTGCAAATCATGACCGGTGGCATGTGCGAGGCCCAGCGGGGGGGCCAGGGACGTAAGGAAATAAGAAGAGGCGCCATGAAATCTGGGGAAATATCATGGCCCCCGCCATGAGATCCACCCCCCTAGTCATCACCCCCCTCTTTTCCGCCCCCGACGATCCTGGCCTGGAACCTTTCATCCTCCGGAGCAAGTGGAGACCCCCCAAAAGGCACTGCGCAAGTACGCTGGGAGAGGACCGTCTCAACCTGTCCCCGCCGGGGCTGGCGATGGTTCTGACGATGCCTCTCCCCAGGGAGCGAAGGACGGCATGATGCGATTGGCTCAGCCTGAGCCAATCGCGCAACGTAAGCCAATCGGATTGATGCAATTGGCTCAGCCTGAGCCAATCGCGCAGCCTAAGCCAATCGGATGCGTCCTGGCAATTCCGGAATATCTGGCGGCCCCCAGCCGAATCTGGCCGCGCGTGGCACAGAGAGAATCTGGAGAACTTGGAACGCGCCGTTCTCATGAGAGGGGAATCCTCGGGGGGGGAAAATCGACCTGGAATCGATGATACATCGTCGACGGATCGGCGATGCGCCCCCTGATAGCGATTCGGCACCCTCCTGCACGGCGTGGGCTATCTGGCTTGGGATATGGTCTCGGAATTCCGCAATTTCCATCGGGTCGGACTGGAGGGGGAGATAGCAAACGGGAGATTACTCCTGATTCCATAATAAAGTAGGGGGGGTCACATTTGGCGGGGGGGTCTGATTTGAGCTGTCTTGAAGGGTTCGGGGGGGGTGGGCAAAGTGCCGCCCTTTCATGGATGGTCTGGGGGGGTCTAAAACTTCTGGTCTGGGAGGGTTGTGACCCCCCCCTTTTATTACGAAATCTGGAGTAGCGAATCAGCTCACGTAGCTGACTTTCCCAGAGCGGCACAGCGCCAGAGGCACGACTGCCTCCTCCCTCCCTCCCTCCCTCCCTCCCTCCCTCCCTCCTCCTCCCTCCCTCCTCACTCCCTCCCTCCCTCCCTCCTCCCTCCTCCCTCCTCCCTCCTTCCTCCTCCCTCCTCCCTCCTCCTATCAAGGAGTGAGCCTGGTGGCGGGGCCGACACCAGCTCAGCAGATGTCGTACCCCCCCTTCCCTTCCCCCCCTCTTCGCCCGACCCGAGATCTGGCAGCGCGGGACGCAGGAGACTCGGACTCGGACTCGGACCTGCTGTCAAAGGGCCGCCGGGGGCCAGGCGAGTTGGCGACGTGGGGTTGGGATGGGGATGGGCATCGGAATCGGGGATGGTGAAAATCGGGGTGGGGATGGGGATCGGAATCGGTAAAACGATACTGAAACCCCAGCGTTGAGCAGGGACCGACCGTCCCGGCATTCCTATGGTCCTACCATGAAGCTCTTTCAGAACCCAAAGCTGTTCCAATAACAAAAACAATGTCGTTAGAACCTAAACTCGATGTGGTACAACAAGACAGTCCCCGCCAGAAATGTTATAAACAAGAACATTGCGTGGAAACATGTTCTTAGAACGTTATTTGGTAGAGCTATAGGCGAGCCAGGACGCTTCGGCACTGCTTGACAAAGATCCGATGTCTTGACTTTTTCAATGCGGGGTCCCCGGAAGTCTCGACCCATTCCCCAGGACTTGGTTTTCATCCTGAGTCGTTTTTGTAGACGCTCCCGAGGCCCGGCGAGGGTCCCTAGGGACCGAAATGTGCAAAACAAAAAAAACGTCTCCATTTTGCGATACGTTGGACCTCTGGGACACAGGAGCTCGGAAACCGCGCGCGGCCCCCGCGCGATCGCGGCAATCGCGCGCGGGGGCCGCGGGGCCTTCAGCACGAGCCGGCCGGGCAGCTTGCCCGGCGTCTGGTGCCTCTCGCCGGGCGGGCGCCGGGCGCGCGGAAGAGCGGCCGAGAAGCGCCTTGCTCTCTCGACGCCTCCTCGTCCTCCGCGTCCTCGCCCTCGCCCTCGCTCCTCCTCCTCCTCTAACCAGCCTTGACCTTATCCCTATCCCTAAGATGGGCGAGCAAAAAGCGAGGACAATCTTAGGGATGTGCCCTCAGAGGTTGAGGGAATCCTTAAGATCGGCATCGAGGTGAGGTGATGTCAAACACAGGGATAAGGATATGTTTCAAACTGGTAGTACTCCTCCACGGCCCTCCCGCTCCTCGCCCACCTCCTCGCCCTCCTCCTCCTCGCCTTCCTC